TATTATATCTTCTTTACCTCTGTAATTTTTTTATACAAATCGCTTTGAAAATTTAATATAGGTTAAATATGTGACGTTTCAAATATTTCATAAACTCTTAAAATATTCATAAGGAGATTAAGATGTGATCGAACTCTTCTAGACAACTAAATACTTCAAAAAGATTTATGACATTCTTTTAGGGAGTTCAAATAAATTTAAAGGAAGTCGACGTCATATATTCGAGAAATTTGCTATTAATGACCCTCAGATCATGAAGAAATCTATTTATACTTACAAATTTGATGAATAAAATCATTACTTCTATTTATTTTGTGATTGCAGTACATTTTCTGCTACTTACCAACAATGCGAAGAATCTTTCGAAAACAACCCGTCGATTTTAATTTTTTTGTCTTTTTCAAAAGACAAATAAAGGAATAGATATTAGAATACACTGTACCGGGATTGGAAGGCATCCCTTTGTATTGTCAAAAGAAGCTTCTTCTATATTAATTAAGTATAATGTTGGGACATTACTGATAAGTCTCACATGGGGTTTTCATCTTGTGCTTTGACTACTTTAGGTATTTCATCCTTTTTATTTCTCTATATATTATTATTATTATTATTTATATACCACATACAATATGCATATATACTATGTACTTGTAACTTTAATTTTTAGCATATAAAATAGTATTATCATATAGTATAATAGAGTGCAATGTTCCTAGATTTGATAAGGTTGGGTGGGGATATGGATGAGAGGAATAAATGGCTTTTAGTGAAGCATGATGCCTTAGACACAAACATTACCTTCCTTGGATCCTCCCATGGAGGCAACCTAACACCTATTTCTCCTTCAATTCAATATTAACAACAATCATAATTATGTTTCAGTCTCAAACAAATTATTTGACTATAAAAATTTTTTATCGATGTTACGTCTCAAATCCGTTCAAAAAAACACTTGTTGGATTCTATATTATAATTTTAGATGTAAACGATGGATATATATGAGGAAGGTTTTCTCTTTCCACTACCTTCAATATTTTTTTTCTCTAAATAAATATAATCATACAACGCAAACAAATAAAAGACAATCTAATCATTGATCTTAATGGCGCATTTGGAAGATTTTTATATTTTATTTTGGTAGATTGACCATTTAATTTGATTGACAGATTTTTATAATATTTTATGGAATTCTTTTTATAATATTTGCCCGATTTGAATATTAATTCACAAATAGTCACTTTTTAACTCGTATAATTAAAGAATGTAATTTCGAGCTCCACGATGAAATTCTACTATAGTGATTTATAAAATTTCATCAAAATCACGAAGCTTTAATACATCAAATATGTCTTTGGATACCTCAATTGCAATAAAACATATACGGTAGTTCCTTTACTTTTGGGTAAGTTACGTAGTAAGTATTTAATTTGACCGATCGATCAAAATAATTTTATTTGTTAATTAAATATAAATAAAGATTTATAGTACTCCAAATCGGTCAAAGAATTTTACATCAAATTTTTCTCTATATATAAAAACTATTATTTTGATAGATTTATGTTCACCCCACCCCACCTATTCCTTCTCTTTAGTGAGTGTCGGTGTATGATGTGATGATACACTAGAACTAAAAATAGCGACCACTTTAATTTATTATCATACTTATTAAACTTTGTAAGAATTGACTCTTTGAGTTTTGTTTTCTATATCAAATGCCTTGTGAATTTTTAATTTTTTTTTTTGAATAAGGGATATATAATGAATAAATTTAAATAATCACCATACTTTTAAATTTTAGACTTTCGGTGAAACACCTCAATATATTTTTTGAAAATTTATTTCCGTCCAAAATAAGTGGTTTGTCTTTCTAAAACCTGACCAAACAAGTTAAAGATTATATTGATTGACTCTCGAAATTTCAATGATACGACATCGTAATTTAGATGAGGGAAAACAAGGGAAGGGTATGAGGTGGAAAGCCACGTAGGACAGATATGAGGTGGAATGCCACGTAGGAAGATGAATTGACCAAATAGATTCTTTTCACGTGGCAAAGAGGGATAAAAAAAAGACGTCATCATTAGTACCTAATTAAAAATGTAAATAATGGAGTAGTAAACAATAGTAATAATAATGGTAAATAAAAGAGCACCGCATATTGTCAGTGTTTTCACGTGGTTTTCTCATGCATTTTCCCTTTCCTCATCCTTTTGTCCCTTCCTTTTATTTCACATATTCAATCTCATCATTCTAATTAATTCACTCATAATTAAATACTCCGTACTATATACTATATAGTCTATACCCACCATCCTATAAAATAATAATGATGAGTTTAGTGTTTAATACTCGTCTAAATTTTGATTATTATATATTTATCCATTAAGTACGTGTTAGATATATATATATATATTTCTCCCTTCGTGTGTTATCAAGCAGATTATGTATATTCCATAGTATTGAATATTATTAAACCGTACCATCATCTCATTTAAATTGCTAAAAGTCTAACTGTCTTATCTAATACTCTACTACTATTAGATAATGAAAATATCACCATACATTGAATCAAGGAATGAAATTTTCATATTTTAATTAGGATGTAGAGACTTTCTATATTCGGGTCAGAATCGTACGACTATGCTTTAACCTGCACATGTAGATACGTCCATTTGTCAAATTCGTATTTTAATTCATATATACGATTAAATATATTTAACTATATACTATATAGATCGACCATCACGAGTTAAAGTGGTGATGATAAAATAATTAAGTTGTTAGTAATATGTTAAATTATGTGATTATCAGTTGATCTAAATGTTTAATTAGTTGTTTGAAGAAGGTTATTTTTTATTATTTATTTAGGTCTATTATAATATAATGGAGAAGTTTTGTCAATCATTTATACGAACATTTTGAGGAATCATTCTCAAATCTTGTAACCATCGCCCGTTACATCATGGAATTGACCATGTTCGAAGCATTACCTTAACCGCAAGGAGGTCGATGAAAAGCTATATATACTCAGAAGATTGTGATAATACGAGTAGCGTTTGAGGAAAAGGAGGTCCTTGAGCCTCGTTATAAGGCTTGAGCAATTTTCCTCTCTTCATTTGAGTTCTACGTTACTATATCAAATTAATGTAATTTAATTTAACTTTGAAAATTAGTCAAATTGACTTTCGAAAAGTGCAATATGACAATTAAAAATTATTCACAGAAGTCACTTTTTAATTAATTAGTGAATTATATTTCTTTATCAATGAAATATTCAGGATATATTATCTTTCAATTTTTTTGGCAGAGGCACGCGTGTTTGAAAAATATCAAGTTGACTTTTATCATATTGTAAATTTTACAGCTTTGAGTTTGCCATACTATGTACATTGAAATTTGCAAGAAGAGAAAACTGGAAAATTGTGAATCAAGTCTATAACGTCATGTTCTTTCCATATTACGTGAAAAAACCTTCTTTTTTTTTGCACGGACAGTGTGAAGATTGTGTTATATATACGGAGAATCTTAGTAGCTCAGTTGGTTTACTATCTGAACTTTCACTTTGATAGTGATAATTTCATTTTGCATCTTATAATTTCCTTCCCATTTCCCCTATCCCTTATTTTATTTTTTATTTTTTAAAAAAGGTGTTATACTATTAGTGGCCGTGTGATTGGTTGTGTCGATCGACATAAATCATAATTATTAATCTCACTATGAAATCCTACATGTAATTACACCGTATAATTTGTTGGTTGCACATAACTAATGCAATATTTGGTTATGGTGGTATAAAAAAAGAATTATAATTGCTGCAAATTGGAAGCAACATTATTATTTTTTCTCTGTAAAAAAAGATTACCAGGTGGGAAATCAAATAATCCTCGCAGAATTTGCTTGTGGGAAAAATGACCACTAGTTTCAATTCTGTCACTTTAGCTTTGTATTCGTCAAGAAAGTGAACATACCACCAAGGCAAATAATAGTCCCAACATTGTTGCATTTTCAGAAATATGGGAACCAAACGACTCATACAATGTTAAATATGGGAACCAAACGACCCCCTACAATATGTTCAAATTGGGAACCAAAAGACCCCTAATAAAACTGGGGGTATTTTCAAACAGGGCCCTACAAGTTGTCTTTCCAAGGGGCATGACTTACTATTTGACCTTGAGTGTATATGTACAACCAAGTCCTAAATGGTCCCTTTTCTCATCTTTAATTGCACAGAGACCTACGCAAAACAGTCCAGTGTATAAAGTATTTCATGTTTATATAGAGTTTAGATTGTACTCCAATAGGATTGTGATATAAACAGTCTACCTTAATACAAATATTAGTGATTGCTTTCACGACTCAAATTCATAAATTATAGATCACACGACAATAATTTTACCATTGCTTCAAAAATTGGTAAATAGACAAGAAATAACAAAATCTTGTAACATATCTTGTTTTCAAGATTTTTCGTTGAGATGTTGCAAAGATAATTGGCACATGGCTATTGTCATTGTCAAGCCACAAAGATAATTTCAGTTTAATTCTTTATACATCCTAATAAGAGGGATAAGAGCATTAAAGATATAATTAAGTAAATAAAAATATGTTTTCATAACCGTTAGAAATTTTAAATGAGAATCACTTACAATTTAAAATGAGTAAATAGATATTTGGATTCAAGTCTCACTCCCTCTCGTTATCAATTTTTTTTTAAAAAATTTGGACTCTAAAAGAAAAATAATTAAGCCCCACGCTAGGAAACATGCACTCTCCTTTTAGATAAGATAATTGCATCAGTATCTGTCTATATGATATCTGTTTGGAACTCGATTGATCTGAATTACTATTAAAACACTTTCCTTCAAAGATGACTCTATTCTAGACACTCAAACACGAGAAATCTCTAACAAAGGATGAAAATGTGCTTACCAGCTCACCATAATTGTTCATGATTAGATAATAATTAAACATAGAAAAAGAGAGAGTATACATGAAACATAAAGTTTTATTAACAGATCAATAGGGGTCTCTATATACCATGGTTATAATATATAGTAAGTATCAATTATTCTTCTACCCAATACAACATGCATGGTTTCTAATTTACAACCCCACAAATTCCTTCAATTTATACTACTAATTAATTAAACATCTGCATATCGTTGAATATTTTGATGATGATAATTTTTTGAACTCACAGGCAAATTATAATAATTCCCACTCAAAGACATTGGTACAGGGAATCCTAATCCTGCAGCAGCAGCAGCAGTAACAGCAGTACCATTAGCTGGCCTAGTTGCACCTGCCCTTTCCAGTGATTGCACTTGATTTTTCAAAAATTTCACATAATGTATTGCTTCATCTAACATTGATGCAGTATCCATTTTTGTTCCTCCTGGTACTAATCTCTGTAATATTCTTATCCTTTCACTTATCCTTTCTCTCCTGTGTCGCGCCGCAATGCTCTGTGGATCCGTCGATATCTTCACGTTCCTTCTCTTTGGTGGTTTAACAGATTCAGGATCGATGTTAATTGGCTGCATTGCTGCAATTCTGAATATCATTTCCCTCATTGCTGCCATATTGCTTCGATTCATCGAATTCGAAGTAAATCCACCCGAATTGGGTAAGAAATTAGGATTTTGATGAATTGGAGGTGAGTTTGTGAATGAAATAGTAGAAGGCATGTTGAGGAAATTAGGTGAATTTTGATCAATTTGTTGGAAATTGTAGTTGTTGTTGTTGTTGTTGCTGCTGTTGCAGCTTCCTTGTGGACTAAACTCCATCATTGGTAATTCGGAACAGTTACCTGTCGAGACATAATATAATCGGTTATCAAAAGAAATGTTCTAGATGTAATTTCTTATATCAGGTGAAATAAGCTATGATAATTACCAACAAGTGTTTGAGATAAGTATTATTTTTAATATTTATTTTGTATATTTTAGATGAGATAGTCACACAATTCAAAGTTACTGACCAGTATAAAAGTCAGGAAATTTCTCCAATTGCATCATGAGCATCATTTCCATTTGATCTTCAGAAGCTGCTGATGATTTAAGCATATCAATATCCATGGCTAGTGCTTTTTTTTTTGTAAGTCCAAATCGCTTTTTTAAAAAAAGTGAAAAATAATTATGGGTTATTGGAACAGAGGAATGAGAAAGAAGAAAGAGTGAACTGTGAGTTTTATCAGAATATTGCAGTGAAAATGGTACTAGTACTATTGGTAGTGTGTTTTTTGGTATAGCTGTGGGTAGAGAAAGTGAAGAAATTGAAAGGGGAATAAAATAGTGATATTGGAAACAGATCATCTAGGCTCAAATGGGAAATGAAGGCTATATATATAACAAATTGTTTTTATTATTATTATTATTATATATATATATATATCTTGAATTTTTTTAATTATAGATGCTGCTATAGCAGATAAATAATTCAGTAAGAATATATAAATATAATACCATTACCAACTTTTATTATGTCATCAAAGTTGGTAACCTTTTTTCCTTTCCTTTTCAATGTTTATTTATATATATAAAAAAATAATCTTCGTTTGCAGGTTACAGCTTAGCTCTGTTTTCAACAAATTAATAATTTTGTTTACAATCATTACTCATTTTTCTTTGTTTACCATTGTGCGCTAGCGCATCGTTTACGGTTCCAAACTTTTTATTTATCATTATTTTATATTCAAAATTTACTATTAGTTTAATAAACATTCGCACAATATAAGATTCATTTAAGAAGGAAATTATTTTAACCAAGTATTTCATTAAAAATAAGCAAGCCGAAACTACTAGCTTGTCTACATGTTCGATAGATTTTGATTAAATTTAGTTCAAATTTTATATTTGTAACTAAAATTCACTTAATATATATAAATAATTTAAGATATTACATCCAATGACTTTGAACTTTTGAGAGACATTCTTGTAAATCACTCTTAGTATAAACTTAAAGCTCTATTTCCGACTCGATTCATATGGCTTGAATTTTAAAACTCAAAATCCTAATTCCAACTCTATTCATATGACTCGAACTCAAAATCTATCCCCTATATCATATTCCTCGATGATGTTGTGTTGCTTGTTCTTCTATTTTACTAGTAATATAGTAGCTTGAAAATAATTAACCTTTCTAGATACATATTTAATTTGTTTGACTAATTTAAAAGAAATTGTTTTTTTATTATTTTTGTATATATATTGTGAGAAGGTAAAGATGAATGGGCTAGGTAGGTAGGCCCACCATTTGGAGGGTTTAGATCTACCAACTGTAGCAGTGATATCATAAATGCTTTTGATGCAGGTGCATGAAACTATATACTATACTAATATTATTTAAATAAAAGTAAATAAATGTATCACTCTAACTTTGGCTTTAATTTTCACTGTTATAAAGAAGACCTTAGCTAAAACCCCACATACACATGACACAAGTCAGAGGTCTCACGCTAGCTACCCCCCACCCCCACTCTCAATGAAATAAGTCAACTCACCGATGGCCGGTGAAGTCGGCGGCGAAATTTATTATCAAAGATAGACTCAGTATTTAAGTTTTATGCGTTCAAAATTTGAAATTCTTAACCTAAATATTTTGACAAAGACAAATGAATTGTTATATTATGTACAAGTTTATATTATATGTATATTGGAGTGTTGAATATAGCTTTGCTTGCCCCTTTTTCTTGAACGCTGATGAAACTTTAACACGTTAATTAAAATTTTGAATCCGTCTCTGATATATGATGGCAAAATAAGTTAGGAAGAGCTAGAGAGGTGGTTGTATTATTATTACTAGTATTATGATAGCAACTTACATTTTGAAGTTTTTGAGTCTTTGTTAGGGTGTGGGGGTAGAGGGGGGTGGGGGGAACGCATTTCGAGGTGGATCAGCTTGTGCACTGGAGTACTGTTTCATGTGCTGTTTTTATGCTAACGAACTTACCTGTGGTGAACTGCTTCTTCAATTAATTTCTTCTGCCATTAACATTTAACACCTCTACTTATAAATTCCCCACGGTTAATTCCACTTTTCTACCACCCAAACTTATATATTTACTCTTTCAAGTTAATAACTACCTACACCATAATAACATCGTAATATTCACAGTATAGTCATTTAAAGAGTCTTATTTTGAAAAAGTATTCGCTCGATAAGTTTTATGTTTTATATATTAATTTCTAATAGGTAGGTGACATGACTAGATCATAATATAATTTTCTTTATCATCTAATTTATTATTGTCAAGATTTGTAACTGTTCATTCTCACGTAGCGCTTGTTATTTTGATCTCAACATGTCAATTTATTAATCGTTCAAGCGTATGTTCGCGAAATGTCTAAAGTTTAGTCATGTATTCAAGATGACAAATTGTTTAGTCATACTCCCTCTGTCCAACAATAATTGTCCACTACACTAAAAATAGTTATCAATTGAGAAAATCAAGAGATAATTTACCTTTTGTAGCTATTTTACCCTTGCTATTAAATATTCCTTCCGTTTCAAAAAGAATGACCTAGTTTCTTTTTTAGTCTGTTTTAAAAAAAATGACCCCTTTCTTTTTTTGGCAACACTTTAACTTCAACTTTCCACATGACATGTTTAAGGCCACAGGATTAAAAGGGCATTTTGGTACATTTAACATAACTTTAATTTAGAACCACAAGATTAAAAAGTCTTCTTTCTTTTCCTAAACTCCGTTCCAAGTCAAACTAGGTCATTCTTTTTTAAACGAAGGGAGTACTATTTATCATCTAACACATTTCTCAAAGCATTAAATTTAATAAAGTCAAATGATAATATAGTAATATTACCCCTATTATTTATTATTTATTATTTTTTAAAGATTGTGTCAAGTCAATAAAGGACAACTATTATTGAACAGAGAGAGAGTATTAAATAATTCACTCCATAATTAATAAATTTAAGTTAAATTCTCATTATGAAATAATTCAAATAAAAAAAAGTTAAATAATTTTAAGAAAAAAGAACGCAACTACAGATTTTTAGATAGAGAAGTTGATGGCGACTTTAACGGGCAGATACGAATTATGTGTGTTTTTAAAAATAATTCTAAGGAAAAGACCTTATCCCAAACGACAAATGCTAATTACAGTAAAGGACATGTCACCTTCATATTTAATCAGAGATCACGTATTCAAACTCGAGAAGTGAAAAAAGAAATCTATTAAAAATATCGCTTTGAAAAATGACTGAATTCGAATTTAATCAACCCTGAAAAATATAATGAATATGCATCTATTTAGTTATCACTCAACCAACAAATTACATATAAATACTCTACTGAATTAAATACTCAGAGCATTTAAAATCAATTTATCTTTATTACCAAATAAAATTAAATAGGAACTTCTTATGCACGTTATACACTGCATGGATATTAATTCAACGCTACAAATTTATGCAGCAATTATATATGACGATTGATGACTAAATTAATTAACCCTAGATTCCCGTTGAATATTTTGTACGTCTTACGCAATTATTGTTTTAAAATTTGCATTCAGCATCTTCAGGTTGACAACTATTAGCGTTTTCTTTTATACGTAATTTTTTATGTTGTGCAATTTATACTTTTCAAAGCATAATGTTCACGAAGTAATTACAAAAATATCACCGAAAGGCTTACACATTTGTTTCTTTATATAGTAGTTCGATTAATTCAGATTCTCGTCACATAGGGTCAGGAGGAAGTTCTCCTTGTCAATAGGAATCCTTCATTTACAAGCCTAGAAATCCAGACCTTTGATTAAGGGTGTCAAAAATTACTTATATAATAAATTTCCGCGATAAATTATAGGTTATATAGAGAAAAATTGTCAAAAAAGAAGAATTAACCTAAATAGCGGCGAACTCTCATTTAAAACTATTTATGGAAGTTCTAATTTAGTAACATCAACCTACCGTCACAAGTTAAACACAAAAATTTAATAAATCAATTGTTTATAGCTTCTACTAAAATTTGAAGTGGCGAAACTAGAAGAAGCTAGAAGATATATTTGGTTCATCATCAAGATGACAGTTGTACTTTTGCAGTAGATATGGTAGAAGTAAAATATGAAAGGGAAGCAACAAATTACAGAAAATAAACATGTGTGTTTTATTCAAGAAACTCTCAAGACCTATCTAGTTTTTAACTAAATTTTTTGATGATTTTTTTAACATAAGTGCCACTGCTGGCTAAGGGGTGGG